TCAAGTAAAAGTTAAGATCCAAATGGTTAGGATGTCGGGTAATGAAATTGGATATGAGTGAGAGATGTTCGCAACGGACTTCACGTGACGTGCATGCAAACGTCAGTTCGTGAAGGAAATTGGAAAAGAAAAATTGGAGAAAAGGAAAGAGGTGCTATAGTACTCGCGAGGTACTGTAGCGTGGTTGCATGTGCTTGTGTACATGCGTTGTTGGCCTGGTTGGTGATCAGGCTGAGTTGATGCTGGGGTTGGCTAGCAGCGTGGCGATCGTTGCGACCCAGGAGGGGAATTAGTTCACTTTGACTGACCGATTCTGATTTGCATCGTTGAACCGTAATACCGAACATCTCGAACACATTTGTATTATTTGTATTGTTCCAGCCCACGGATTATTGGGTGAAGGCCACATAGCAGATGGGCTGGCCCGGGAGGCTGGGGGGCGGCCTGCCGACGGATTATGTCCCTGTATTAATTTCCAAGCTCCTATTCACAACTTCTGTCCCATTTTTTCTTTCATGGATGATAAACCGTGCTAAAAATACAAACTAGTGTCCCATTTACCTCCGTAAGAAGAAAAAAAATGAGACACAAACCTAGTATCCCTATCAGAGGTAGTTCTTATGGATATATACCATAAAATCGCATCACTTCTCTAAAGAACAGACGAAAAATACAACTTGCATAGGATGTCTCACGACGAGAAATAATATGCCATTTTTCTATATAATCAATGATGACAAAAGTAGAATCCACACGTCATTGTTTTTTTAAACAAACCGTACATGACAGTACGAGATTTTATATTGATATAATAGAAAAAAATATGAGAAAATAAATAATCTTGGGAGGCTATAAGAAGGAAAAACAAAAAGGCCAGCGAAGCCAAACGCCTACGACGCAACCACCCGCTACTAGGAGTAAACAGGACCAAGACACCTAAACACACTCCTCAACATCAACATCTTATGGTTGCAAGAAAAGAGGGTGAGAGAGATGAATAGATCTGCTCTTCCCCAGGCCTGTCAACGTGGCAAACTTGAGACGCCTAGAATGCCACGCAAGAGGACAAAATCTAGACAAGAGTCTAACTGGAATGGACCTCACAACGGCGCCTTCAAAAAGGTTACTACGCCGATGACGCCGCTGTCGTCTGCCTTACGAACCAGGGCGTGGTTTTCACCTGAGGAATCTACCAAGGAGGGTGGAAACACCACGGCAGTGCCCTCATTAGGGTTATGGCGCTCGAGAGCATCGCCACTGTCAGTCCTAAAAAGAACTAGGCTTTCGCCAGGAATCTCTCTTCCCTCGCATGTCAGCGCGTCACTGTCAAAACCAGCAGTCCCACCCTACAAACACCTTCGACGCACGGCCACTGACCAACGCCCCTCAGTCAGCTGGCAAGCAAGCAGGAGGCCACCTTAGGGGGCCACCCCTACGCTTCATTCCACAGATCCCGGCAATGTTGCCACCTCGCCGCTACACGAGAGGAGGGGGGCGGAAGTCGACGGACACCCGGTCATCGTTGAAGCCATACCCTCCCTCCCATACCATAGCCGACAACATCATCCTCCGTTCAACGATAGGAGAGGGGCTGTCACCACCCACAACCGCTCCCTTCCATCGCCGCCTCCTGCCACTGCCTAGCCTCGCTGGCAAGCAAGCACACGAGGAAAGGAGGTAGAAGTCGACGAACACCCGGCAACGTCCTCGTCGTCCACGTCCACCGTCGCCATCGGCAGATCTGGCTTATCACTGATTTCAACAATCTCCGCCAACGTCACCACCGCCGCCGATCGCACACCGCACCATTGGCCTCCCTCCACTACCGATCGCACACCACGTCCCCATCCACCGCACCGGCCTCACGCACGCCGGCTTCGTGCACCGCAGTGGCCCCCTCCGCCGCCGGCCACACCGCCTCCACTTCGTGACGCTCCACTGCACCGCCGCCTGCGCTCCGGCTGGATCCAGCCTGGCGCTGGCCAGATTCGGGGACGGCAGTGCCGGATCTGCCGCCTCCTTGCCGAGAGCGCTAGTCGCCGCCACTCCCCAATGCCGGCAAATGCAAAACATACTAAATACATGTTCTTAGTTTGTTTATTTCAATAATTTTGTACACATGCAAATGCAAAACATACTAAATTTTGTATGGGCGGCTTGCATGCATATCCGTTTATTTTGTGAAGCATTCATCTACGCATGATTCTTTTTAACGTCATTTTTTCAACATATGATTTTGTTCGGCTATTTAGGATTAAGTGATTTACTATTATTAAAAACTGAAGTTGTTTCCGCTGATAGTTCTGGTATGTCGTCCGTATTTGAGTTGGTTTTAAAATTCGTTTGCTTTTAAAAATACAAGGGTTTTGAATTGGATATCATCTTAAAATAAAAATCCCATACACTTTTTAGACAAAAAAATATATCTAACAATAATACGATTAAAATAATCTTCACCAATTGCAATGCACATACATTCTTTCTGTATATATTTAAGTCAAAGTACAAAATCAAATAGGACACGATTCATGCATGGGTATTCACTTGAATACCCCTTTTTTTTGGCAAAATTTGCTATATGACAAAAAAAAAGTGTAATTAGCTGGTAGACACCGCAAGAACGCCAATTTGCTGTCGGATATACCAAAAAAACTGGTAATTAGCTATCAGACACTAGCTGCCTTAATTTATTATTTTCGAAGGAATTGGAGAGAGAAACACTCATTAAAGACAAGTTAGTCCTTAGTCAACACTGCAATGGCGGAGGTGGCCCGAGAAGGAGTAGATCGAAGCGGTAGCGGGCGGAGCCGATTGGCAGAGAGGTGGTGGGCGAAGTAGGCTGGAGAAGCTTCTAGAGTCGCCGCGCTATCTCCACCTCTAACTTCCTTTGCGCCTTGTCCTTCCGACAGCTCCCCGGCCTCCTTGCCGCCTGCCCCGTGCACTCGAGCACCTCCATCTCCTCGGGCTCCTTGAGCCGCCATGCCATCTTCGCCTCCCACTCCCTCTACGCCTTGTCCTCCAACGGCTCCTCGGCCTCCTCGCCGCCTACCCCCAAAGCAGAGGCCGTGAATCCAGCCACATGGCATGGCCACAGCGCAACCGCGTGCACGCGCGGCACATGCACAGGAGGAGGAGGTTGGCGGCCATCGCCGGTGGCGACACCGAGGAGGAGGTTGGCGGCCATTGCGCTCACATGGGTTGAAGAAGAGAAGAAAAGAAAAGAGAGAAGAAGGAAAAGAGATGGAAGAAGAACCGTGTCCAGGGGCATTTTAGTACTTTCAACACTCTTTCTCTCTCTGTTTTCACCGGAAATAATAAAATAATGTCTCGGGTGTCTAGCAGCTAATTACCATATTTTTGCACAAGAAAATACACGTTTTTTGAGTGTCTCACAGCAAATGCTACAAATTTTAAGTGTCCTCTAGTAAATTTTGGCTCTTTTTTAGAACTAACTACACCCTAGTACATATATCTTCCCTTGTGTATGCAGTTGGGTAGTGCGTTCGATTCCCATGAACTCCCTTATCTTTCTCACACTCTGTTAGCTGTTTTTCCCACAGGCTAACCCTGCTTTTGAGAAATACATCTTTTATGCTTTCAAAATCATCTGAAAACAATAAAATAATTATTTTTCTACTATATTCTCTATAGTTCGTCACTACTTTAATTAAAAATTGCATGTTTTTCACTAATGACACAAACATTATTTTTTAAAAAAATCTTGAATACCCAGCTCCGAAATCCCGAGTATGTCACTGAAATAGTACATAATGATTTTAGAACTAATAGTACAAGATCGATCGGGATGTAAGCTGGTATGCCTTGTCCAATCGCATGGTTCCCCACCCGGTTTATTAGTTGCTGCGTGCTATAAAAACCAAAAGACAAAAGACAGTAACATCCAGATCAGCAATTTCATGTTCTAAATCAAGGAT